ATGGCATCATAGTTCACAGCAATCTCAAACTCTTGGGCTCAAGTGATCCTCTTGCCTCAGCCTCCCAAGTAGCTAGGACTACAGACAGGCGCCAGCCATATGCACAGCTATTTTTAGAAACGGGGGTCTCACTCTTGTTCAGGCTGGTCTCAAACTCCTGAGCTCAAGCAACCTACCCATCTCAGCCTCCCAGAGTGCTATTATTATAGGCAAGGGCCACCATGCCCAGCCCCAGTCACCTATTTAATATCATGGACTTGCAGGAATTTATTTTGCACTTTGAGTTATAATCCAATGCTTCATTATTTTGTTTCTCAAATTGTTTCAGCTTTGGTCATTGGGGGCATTTTCAATTGGTTCCTGTGTCCCTTTGGTAAAACCTGAACGGTGGGTGCACCTGTATGTGTGTGTGTATGTGTGTGTTTAGCACTTCCTTCCCTCCTTCCTTTCTGGCACTATAACGTGCTCCAGGCTCATCTTGGATATTCCTTGCCCCACCCCTAGAATCAGCCATTTCTCCAGGTAGTCTGGGCTCCTTTCACTGGGCAATGACACTAGAGATCAAGAACTGGGCATTGGTTGTGCTCATTGTTTCTAAGATGTCTTTCAGCAAACAGAGCAGGGAAAAGTATGAGCATTTACTAGCTCTGCATGTGCACTTATCTATAGAGATTTCTATGTGTTTCCATCAATACTTGTATTAACCTAAACATGAGTTCATACTGATACCCACAACTCTAACCCAGTGCCACATTTATCATTCAAGTCCCCCCCTTTTTATTTTTATTTTTTTGGGTTTTGTTTGTTTGTGTGTGTGTTTGTTTTGAGACAGAGCCTCAAGCTGTCCCCCTGGGTAGAGTGCTGTGGCTTCACAGCTCACAGCAACCTCCAACTCCTGGGCTCAAGCGAGTCTCCTGCCTCCGCCTCCCAAGTAACTGGGACTACAGGCACTCGACACAATGCCTGGCTATTTTTTGGTTGCAAGCCATCATTGTTTGGCGGGCCCAGGCTGGATTCTAACCTGCCAACTTAGGTGTATGTGGCTGGCACCTTAGCCACTTGAGCCACAGGCGCTGAGCCTTTTTTGTTTGTGTTTGAGACAGAGTCTTACTATGTTGCCCTTGGTAGAGTGCTATGGCATCACAGCTCACAGCAACCTCAAACTCTTGGGCTTAAGCGATTCTCTTGCCTCAGCCTCCCAAGTAGCTGCAACTATAGGCGCCTGCCACAACACATGGCTATTTTTTGGTTGTAGTTGTCATTGTTATTTGGCAGGTCCAGGCCGCGGTGGAACCCACCAGCTCTGGTGTATGTGACTGATGCCCTAGCAGTTGAGCTACAGGCACCAAGCCAAGTTTCCCCTTTTTATTTGTCTGTAACCTCCCATTCTGATAAGAAGTCTGAATCCTACCATCTACTTTGTTCAATTCCAGAATGCAGGTATAGTGTGATTTCAGACCCTTAAGCTGTACTCCAAGAGAAACAACTTTCCCAACTAAAGTACAGTGCTATGTGTCACTCTTTTCACCTTTAGTTTTACAGACTTGATTCATTTCCACAATTATTTAGGAAATTGCCTATTCCCCCACTCAAACCATTTGTTCTGGCCTGAGTGTTCCCTTCTCCTGCCAATAAGCCCAGCCTGGAGACGGGAACCCGTCCTAGTTTTTTTCTGTGGAAATTTAATGCCCATGCTCTATTGGGTCTCATAGGCCTCAATGCCATCACTGGTCCCTCTACACCAAGTGAGACACCCCAGAACAACACTATTCAGTCCTCTGGGCCTGCCTGCTAAACTCTGTGACCTCACGGATGGGCCCAGCCCCAGGCATTCTTCCCTTCCACCTGAGGACCACTGCTTATTCCCTGGGTCCCCACAGCAGGGGCAGCCTTCCTGGATCCTGGCCAAGCTGTCCAGCTATCTGGCTGGTCTACCCAGTAACGGGGCCTTCTCAGGTTACTCAGAGGATCGCTTTGCCTTAGAAACTCCAGCTGTCACCTCAGGCGCATCAGTAACTGATGCCAAGGCCCTGAGCAGCCGGGGCCTGGCAACAGGTAAGTGTCCCTGGGTGCTCCGGGAGTGCTGTGCTCTGTGCCTCCTGCAGTCATCAGCAAGGAAGGTGAGCAAACCTGGGGAGGAGGTATATAGCACCTGATCATTTGGGATGGGGGGCCCTTTTATGCCTCTTTCTTGTGCCCTGAAATAGCTCACTCAATCCTGTCAGGAGTCTGGATTCCTGCTTCCAGAGAAGAGAGGGTGGCTCTTTTTGAGGACTCTGGGTGGATGGGAGAGAGGGCTTGAGTCAGTCTATAAAGGTAGGGACACACTGGAGGGTTTGACTTGGTTCAAAAGCAGCCCTGGCGGGGTAGGGGTCTGAGTGCTGGCAGGCTATTTGGCCCTGTGGGATCCCTAAATTGGGTGTGGAGGCATTAGGAGTTGCCTGCTCGCACATCTGTCAGGTAGTCTGGCCACCCAGCATGGTTGTGCTGGTCAGAATAGATGTGCATGGAGGTAAGTGAGCCATGTGCTCCAGCCCCACATTCAGTTTCCAGCCAGCCCTTCCTTGATAGTAGAGGGGCTGCCTCCAGTACAAGGACTAATCCCAGGTCTCTCCACACTGCAGTGATGACATAATAAGCTGCAGGAGCCCAGTGCTTTGCCACTAAGTTGCAGAGGAAGTGTCTCTGAGGATTCATACCTTGTGGCCAGCACCATAGCCCAGGAAATGAGGATGAGTGCCCCTGGGGTGGGTTCAGGACTGATCCTGACAGCTTAGGGTGTGACAGCCTCCACCCAGTGTGAGGACTTCTCACATGGTGCCCCCTGCTGGCCACATGACACAGGTGCTCACTGGATGTCACTCAGGGACATTTCCTCCTAGTCCATTATGGCCTCCTCCCTTCTTCCAGCCCTCCACCTTCCAAGAAGTGTTCCCTGGGCCTCCTGGGAGAGGCTGGTTCCCAAAGAGATAGCCATTGTAAGGATGACTCCTGTGAGCAGGTCTTTAACTATCTGCAGGGGGCTGAGGGGCACCAGAGACCAGGGCCTTTGCAAACCAGCCCTCAGAGAACTCTCTAAGACAGGGTGAGGAAGCTTACAGACACTATGATCCATAAGATAAGCCTTCACACCACATACTCTCTATAGTTTCAGAGGACTCCCTCCCATAGGCACTTGTAATTCTCACCCTAAACAACACACACACACACACACACACACACACACACAGGAACTGCTCCATCCAGTCTGGTCCTAGTATACCTCACTAGCCCACAAAATTAGCTTCTTTTGAAGGACAGTCACCCCTTCTTCTTTGAGCTATCCTACAGCCAGAAGCCCAGAGACCCCAAACCAGCCATACCATCCTTCCCCAAAGAGGTCAACTCAAAAAACAAATCCCCTCTCACCAAAAGTCAGTAGGAAAAGAGATGGTACTTCCATATAAGACTTCCTCTCATTTTCTCTTTGCTTAGAAGTTTCTCGTACACAGAATCTTATCAGTTGCAAGTGATGAAACCCCAATACCAAACAGCCTTTAAGAAAAATTCATGAGCCCATGTCACTGAAAGGTCCTTTTGTCAAACGGAAGTTGGGTGAACTTCAGGCTTAGCTAGATCCAGGAGTTCTGATGCTATTGTAAGAACTGATCCTCCACATGGTAGCAACATGGCTGCTGGCAGCCCTAAATCTGCTATATTCTTACAGCTAATGGGCCCAGAGAAAGATCCTCTAAGGCAGTGGTTCTCAACCGTCCTAATGCCACTATGTATTTTTATTGTTACAAAGGGATTGTGACCCACAGGTTGAGAACTGCTGCTCTAAGGCCAACGTTATCAACTCTGAAGGGATTCTGAAGAACCCTTCTAAGGACACACAGGCTAGAAGACAGCGACTGGTCAAGTCTGATTAATTCCCACCCCTGCTACCAGGGCCAATACATAATTGCTTGTTCCCAAAATCCTGGGGCATGGGAGGGGAAAAGGGCATGCCTAGCAGTCAACCTACCCCTTTTCCTACAACACAAGAGGGGAGGCCTGTGAGGGCATTCTCAGTACAGGCAGAAACCCTCTGGGCAGAGGTTTGAGGGCTTTGCCTGAGATGGGCAGGGAGGCACTGTGTCACTGTAGCGAACCTTGGCTGTGGCTCTGCCATTCTCTTGCTGGGTGACCTTGTGTTAGGACCCTCCTGTCTCAAGTTACAGACATTACATCTCCTGGTTCTGGAGAGGTTTATTAAAACCTTCCCCAGGGGTATAAGTGGTCTATGGGGCCTCTTCTTGCTCCAAAATTCTGGGCTTCTGGAAGTTTATGATTCATGCAGGACGCTGAAAGGGGATTTTGGCAGATGGAGAAGGGACAAGAAAAAAATTAAGGTGGAGGGAAGTGAGGAAAGAGGGACCAATGAAAGCAGATTGTGCCATGTAAGTCAGGCAGTAAAACAGACCCATAGGAAAAGGTATAACCTTATTCCTTAAAAAACCAAGGCATTCAGGTTAAAAATTTAAGGTAGGGCCATTTATCTTTTATATGCCCCCCCCCCGCCGTGTTTTCAAATTAGAAAGTCCAGAACTAACAGCAATGTAGAGAAAGGAGTGGATGACTCCAGAGATGTCCACTCTGGCCAATGAAGCAGCAACCTCAGTTCTGCCTAAAGACTACACACCCTAATCACAGGCCCTCTCACTCTCACGCCCTCCCGCTGCCTCTCCAGGGTCTGATACCTGGTCTGTATCCCTCAGATCCCCTACTGCCCTTCTGACCGGTTTTGGCCCCCTCTAAACTGCTCCATCTTCTCAGCTACATTTCCTCCTGTTGTCGGGGATAGAAAAATAAAAAGGCTCATACTCAGACCCACAGAAGAGTGGGGAAGGAAGGGAATTAAGACCGAGAGAAGTAGAAGCCTTGACAGGCACATGCCCGTGGCTTCTAAGAGGCTGCGCAGCAACCCAAGGGGCCGCGGGAATCCGTGTGCTGTCTCCTACTCCAGCTGCACAGCCACCACGCCATGCCAGCCACCAACCAGGGCTGGCCCGAGGACTTCGGCTTCCGGCTAGGCGGCTCCGGCCCCTGCTTCGTCCTGGAGGTGGCCAAGGGGAGCAGCGCGCACGCCGGGGGGCTGCGACCGGGGGACCAGATTCTGGAGGTGGAGGGGTTGGCCGTGGGCGGCCTGAGTCGAGAGCGCCTCGTGCGCCTGGCGCGGCACTGCCCGCGCGTGCCACCCAGCCTCGGCGTGCTTCCGGGCCCCGACGGCGGCCCAGCCCAAGCATCTGGCCCGGCTGCGTTGACCCCAGCCTTGCGGACCCAGCGGTCTGGCCACAGCCTAGCTCTGGGTCGCGAGCTGCTACGCTTAGTCGGCGGCAAGCGCCCTGACGCAGTGCACCGAGAGCGCAGACGCAAGGCCCTGGAGTTCAGCCGCAAGGTAGGGCGTGTGGGGCAGGGCTCACGTGGGCGGGGGCAGGGGCGGCTCCTGGGGACAGAGGGGCTCCTGGAGACTGGGAGACGCTCTTCCCAGGCCAAAGCAGAAAAAATTTCTACCCACAGATTTAACAAAAATTTAATGATGCTCAAGCTTCAAGACCGTGGGTCTAATTCTGTAATATTTACTCACTTATTTTTATTTTTGATTAAGGTACTATAGGTGTACAGTAAAGGTTAAGTGTACAGATTAATAAATTTTACATACGCACACACCCTGAAACTATCCCCACCACCACCAAGATTTAACATAATAGCATATGGCCGAGTGCAGTGGATCACACCTGTAATCCCAACACTCTGGGAGGCCCAAGCAGGTGGATTGCTTGAGCTCAGGAGTTTGAGACCAGCCTGAACAAGAGTGAGACCCTGTCTCTAAAAAGTAGCCGGGCCCTGTAGCGGGCGCCTGTAGCCCCAACTACTTGGGAGGCTGAGGCAAGAGAATCGCTTGAGCCCAGGAGTTTGAGGTTGCAGTGAGCTGTGATGCCTCGGCACTCTTCCGAGGGTGACAAAGTGAGACTCTGTCTCAAAAAAATACAAAATAAAAAATAATAAAATAATAGAATAGAAATAATAATAGAATGTTGTAAACTACAGAATAATTCCTTGACACCAGGTTACCACCTGCTCCCCTCCTTGTCTATGCTCCTATAACTGCTGTTCTGACTGCCATCACTATAGGTAATTTTTCCCTTTATGAACTTCATATAATAGAATTATTCAGTATATGCTCTTCAGTGCTGGGCTTCATTTGTCCAACATCACATCAGTGACCTTCATCCATGTTGTGTGCAGCTGAAGGATCCTTATTTCATTGCTCACGTTACTAAGACAATGTTAGTGTTCTGTTTTCAAAGAGCCACACTGCTGTGCAAGGCCCACAAAACCAGAACCAGGTGGGCCTTGCACAGCAGTCTGACTGGCTGGTTGGCCACAGGGGGGGGCAGGAGCAGTTTGGGTCCTCTAACCTTCCAAAGGCATTTCCTTAAACTTTAAACTTTGGCACAAACCAGGCTCTGAGAGGTTGCAGGTAGAAATGTAGGTTAACTCTAAAGACAGAGTCAAGAGCCTAGAATGGCTGAGGCCTCCAGCCACCAGAGGAGCCCAAGGCCTAAGTCACCTGCTGAAAGCAAGCGGTGGCCACCAGGAGAGATGGAGGCACATTTCAAAGACCCAGGGCAGAGAAGGAAAGATGGAGGATGGCCTCAGGCCAAGCAATTCCCAACTTATAAGAACCTGGTATTTTCTGGACAAATGCAGGCCAACCCAGGAAATCTGGAATGTGACACAGTTATGGAGGAGAAGACTTTCCAGTGAGGTCATGTCAACTTCGTGCCATCAGCAAGGTCTCAGTACAACTACTTCAGGCCACCTACCATCATATGCCTATCCTACAGGGCTTTTAGATGTAGTTCTGAGGCCCTTGTTTGGCTTGAGCATAACAAAAAGTGAGACTGTGTGTGACAGGAGATAATCTGGAGCTCAGACACTCCACCTTGCTGCCTGGGGCTCAGGCCCCTTGTGAATGCTGAGCCTGGAAATTCAGTATCTGCTTGGTGACTGTGAACTTGAGTTCACAGACTTTTCCTCTGAGGAAGGAAAACTGCTTGGTCCTATCCTTGGCAGATCGTGCCCACTGGGCTTGGAAGGGAAGCCCTGCTGGGCATTGCAGAAATGGCTGCCAGCCCACTGCTCAGGTGTGAGATCCCCAGCACTCCACCCTCCTCTAGCACCCAAGCTTTCTTAGTCCTCATTTATTCTAAACTGACCCCCTCAGGAGCATTTCCTTCATCATGTACCCTGGCAGGATCTCTTGTCTGAGCTTTCAGTCCCATGACAATGAACAGCCCAGTCTCTACAGCCAGGCACACACACTAACTCACATACAGAGCTATCTCTGGTTTCCCTATGTCACCAGTTTCTAGCTCTGGCTTCCCTGTGTCACCAATTTCTAGCTCCTTAAAAGATGTGACTTTCTTCCTATACCCAGAATAGGCTCTGCTGCTGTAACAAAATCAACATCTTAGTGCCTTTGCTCTATAGAAGTTTACTTTTCACCCACACAAAGTCCACAAGGAGTTCAGGCAACTTTCCAGGGGAGTTAATGTCCACATTAGGTCTTGAAATTCCAGTCTCCTCCTTCTTGATGTGAAGCTTCAGGGTTCTCCATGGAAGAGGAAGACAGCACAGAAAACTGTATCTGCTCTTACTAGTGCACTGTCATTCAATACTCATTGGCTAGAATTGGTCATACTGCTGCTCCCTGAGGGTGCTGACAGATGTGATCTTCTATGTGTTCAGGAAAGGGAGAGAAAACTATAATAAAAATATTGGCTAATACCAGTAACATTCACTACAATCCCAGATGGCCTACCATGGAACCAAAGGCTCATCCCAAACTCCTTCTAATTCCTGCAGAGTTGGAAGAGGGCATACTCAGGGCCCCTAGCAGGGCAGGGTACATAAGCAAAACTGACCGGAAAGCAGAGCCAGGATGTCCAAGGGTATACCAGCCAGCCAAGGGTATAATCTGACAGGCTGCCCAAGCCAGCCTTGGTGCTTTTTATGGCAAGGAGAAATGTGGAGTGATATATTCTGGTTAGGGCCCCCCAAACACCCCTGAAATCTGAGAGTGACTTCCTTCAGATGATGGAAGGCCTGTGTGCAGCCCCCTGCAGTTTTCAATAACCAGTCTTTGCCTTCTCATCTGCACTCTGCTTGCCCCAGTTTTTCCTACTTGAGGTAGCTGATATTTAATAGAAAATCCATTAATGTCCCGTGATGGCGCCTCATGCTTAGATGTAGGTTGAGAACATCTGGGTAATAACTGACACCAAAACCGCACTGTGGCACCAGCCCCAGGAGAGAAGAACTATTTTTTTCCTCTTTCTTACATAAACATCTTTGCAGTGAGCCATGTACTCCTTTGAATTGGGGCTGCTGCTGACTTTGACTTCCAAACCATGAATCTTTCTCAGCACAGTGGGTACACGCGGGGGGTAGGGAGTACCTGGGGCTGCAGCCTAGCTTGCTCACTAGTGGAGAGACAACAGTCAGCTGGGGGCCTACAGGAAGTGCATTGCAACACCACACTTTGTTTTCATCCTATAAATATTCACTGAGTACCTACTGTGTACCTGGCCCTGTGCTGGGGGCTGAACAGGAGTGAGACCTCAGCCATCATAGCTGGCGGAGAGACAGACAGTTACACTCACTCACGGTGTGTATGTGCTAGGACTTAGACAATGTGCAGAACATGGCTCTGAATGGGAACTCTATTTTTTTTTTTTT